CAGCTACTTTCTTCCACCAGTAGTTGTGCAGGTGGTCTCTTCCTGCAGCCTTCCAGTTATGTGCCCTTCTTAAAGCCGCTATTACGTCTTGTTCCTCTACTTTTATAGGCTCCATGTCCGCTATAGTCGCGCAGTTATTTTTTTCTTCTTGTAGCCAAACCGCATCCTTATTATAGTTGCCCTTTTCTTCCCAGATATTTGCCCAGTACTTCGTCAGTCTTTCTACGTCAGGTGGTTTTCCCTGTTTCACATTTTCTTCATTTAATTGTTTATAGAATGACTTCTCACTGCTGCTATATTTTTTATTATCATTCTTCCTTTTATAGCTAATATTATATCTTCGCAGCCTTTTACCGAGCATTGCAATTTTCTGTTTTAGATTATCCTTTAGTATTGCCATCTGTTCGTTGTAATCTGGACTACCAATACATATTTTTCTGTCCTTAAGGTATTTTTTACATTCCTTTTTTAATTTTTTACATTTGTTGCCTCTTTCCCACTCATATAGTTTTGTCAGTATGCTTCTGTGGTTTTTAATATTTTGTTCAATTCTGGTCTTCCACGGTGGGGAATTGTGATTACTGGATCTTCCTTTATCACTTCTTATTTTAATACGCATATACTGAATCGTTGTTATAGCAGCAACATATACGAGGCCCTGGATATCGCTTAATGTGGCCACAGGGCTTAGTACTTTGGGTAGTTCATTATTAATAACTTCGAGGCAAAAGCTGGGTTTCTTATTAGGTCGTATTTTAGACAGCCAAGGGCGTCTTTCCGGATCTATTTTACTATAGTTAATCATATTTCCATTGAACATCTCTAATATTTCTGTTTTTCCTATTTCAGGTTCGACTTCTGCGTTTCTGTTGCTGTGAGCAGTCAATTCTTCATCAACCTCAGCGACCCCATCAGGTAAGTTATCGTTGTTAAAAATGATATTATCATTATCATGTTCAGGTAAGTCATTATTATGTCCAATCAGCAATGTCTCAACCTCTTGCTTAATTTTTCCGATCTCCAGTTGTGACAAAAGTTTATGAGCCCTGATTGAGTTTAGTTGACCAGCTAGCTTTTGTTCTCCGAATTTTAAGTCTGGTCTAGCTCGGGCCCATTCAGTTACTAGTTTTTTTCTAAATCCCTGCTTTTCCCGTTCACCATTCGTACAGAGGAAGTACGCACGCATTAAATCAGTATTGTCTTGAGTAGACCATTTGTACCTGCGCATTATGTTTCTGGCAATCTCTGGGGTGACTGCAGCTTTTTGCTGGGTCAAATCCTCTGAATGAGTCGCCGTTCTTCCTCTAGCCATTGTCGTTTGCCGTCTTGTGGTTCCGCTACCTGAAGCCGCGCCACTCGCCTCACGATTCTCCAGGTCAGGCTGAACCTCCGGACGGCTCCATCACCAATTTTTGGGTATTGCAAAGTAAGCCTTTGCTGGCAGGCCTCCGATAGCCTTTATTCCCAGCTATTCCCAGCCGCCTCTGACATGAGGTACAGACGCTGTTGGACGGCCGCTCTTCTAGAGACAGACGCCATCCCCGCGGAGCTCTCATACGCCCCAGTCACGGTGACCGGGCCGGTGGAATCTCCGCGGTCCCTTTAAGGCAGGGGCTACCAACTGAGGTAGGTGGGGTCGTTGCTCCCCAAAGCACTAGCAAGCCTCAGCTAGAGCTCCTCTGCCTCTGCCTATTATTATTATTATTATTATTATTATTATTATTATTACCATAATCGCGGTTATATCAATTGTAGTATTACTCCCAATGATTTCAACTTATATTTTTCTCAGGTGGCATCGAGCATTACTGCCGAAATAAAAAAAAAATAAATGATCCAATGCTCTATATGAAAAGGCAATCAAGTCCCAGGAGGTCGTTTTTCCTGGATCCGGTTTCCAGTGAATTAGTCTATAGCACAATTCTGCATTTGAGTAATTCTAATTCTTTAGACATCTACAGCCTAAATTCAAAAATTCTTAAACATACCGCAACTTTTTTAGCTGACCCCATAGCTCATCTAATTAACCAGATGTTTGAAACTGGAATATTTCCAGAACAGTTAAAAATAAGCAGGGTTGTGCCACTACACAAGAAGGGAGATACCAACGTCCCCTCAAACTATAGACCTATTGCAATCATCCCTATAATGGGGAAGAACGTTGAAATAATCTTAAGAGATCGCTTGCTGAACTATTTTGAAAAACACAAACTTTTGTGCAAAGAACAGTTCGGGTTTAGGGGCGGAAGGTCCACCACGCATGCTTTGCTAAGTCTTGTGGGGAGCATTGTCGAAGGTTTTGACGCTGGTGAGATAGCGGAGGCCACCTTTTCCGATCTCACGAAGGCTTTTGATTGTGTGAACAATGGACTGCTGATGCAGAAGCTCGAGTGGTATGGCATCAGGGGCATGCCTCACAGATTATTGCGCTCTTACCTTAGCGGTAGACTTCAATGTGTCGAGGTGAATGGAAAATTCAGTAGTTCTAGCTTGCCGGTATCGTTTGGAGTGCCGCAGGGCTCGGTGCTCGGGCCCCTGCTGTTTATAATTTACATCAACAATTTGCCTTCTCACATACCATGTAAAACTACGCTTTACGCGGATGATACAATTCTTTTATCCCGATCTAGAAACCCATATGAACTTAGCATTGACAGTGTGGCCAATAAGACTAGAGCGCGTGAATGGTTCGCGTCGAACTCCTTACAGTTAAACGAAAATAAAACAAACAATCTTATTTTCTCTTGTAGCAAGGTGCACAATTTAAACAATGCTCCGGTTAAGGTACTTGGAGTCTGGATCGATCGTACTCTTTCTTGGAAGGATCACATTGAACACCTTTACCACAAACTGTCAAGTCAATTGTTTCTAATTAGATACTTAAACAAGTCACTCATTCCTATCATGTCAAGACTTGCTTATTTCGGATTGTTCCATTCTCATTTAGCGTACGCTATTGTTGTTGGGTGGTTCCGTGCATGCCCGCAAGGCTTTTCTTATGCAAAAAAGAGCGATACGTGTGATTGCGAATGCAAAGCCTCGTGATCACTGCCGCCCGCTCTTCTCAAAGCTTAATATTTTGACCTTACCATCACTATTTATTTACTATACAGTCACTCTCATACATGAGCTAAAGAACGATATGCCTAAGCACTGTGATCGCCAAAATCACTACACCAGGGGATCTGAATTAATTGTCCAGGGCCATTCTAGGCTGCGCACATCCGAGTTAAATAAATTGTACATTATTTACTACAATGTTCTACCAACCGTTGTCAAAGATCTGCCATTCACTAAATTTTGTAATATAATAAAACAATTTCTATTGGAGAACGCATTCTATACTGCAGATGAGTACATCCGTGTTGCGTCCCGAGTGTCTCCATAATACTAATTGGGAATTTATTTATTTATTTATTTACTTATTTTTTTTTACCTAATTTTTGTTTCAATGTTTGGTGTTTATCTATCTGATAATTATGTTGCTCTCTATGAATGTTATTAGAATGTGTTTGATATTGTGACTTGCCATTTGTTGTTCTTGTAATATATATAATGGTCAATAAAGTCTAAAGTCTAAAGTCTATTATTATTATTATTATTATTGTAAAACAGATACGGTGGGGAAGGAAACTATTGCTCTCATCACGGTAGACGTCGAAAACACCTTCAACAGGACACCATGGTGTGGTATATTGGAAGAACTTCGAAATCGAAATATAGCCCCTTATCTGTATAACATGATAGCAAGCTACTTCGAAGATAGGCGTTTAAGCATAGGTGAGGCAGCACAAATGGACGTCAGATGCGGAGTCCCGCAGAGATCACTAATAGGTCCAACTCTATGGAACGTGTATTACAACAGTGTGTTCCGGATTCCCGTTCCAAATGGTATTACCCTTGTCGGATATGCTGACGATCTGCTCATCTTAGCAGAAGTAAAGGGGGTCGAGATGATGAAAACAGTAGCCTATTTGTTGCTGGAAGAAAGGTTAAAAGCATTTCAGTTACAGTGCAAAGCATAACAACTCAAAGTCAGGAAGTAGTCAGATATCTAGGTATAAAACTAGATAAGAACATGTCGGTCAAAGCAAATACTCTGCGCCAAAAGAATAGAACGGCCAAATTTTATACAAGCTCGCTGAACTTCAGTGAATCGGAGACCCTCTTCTTGAAGTAATGCCTGTCAGCAGTTCCAAGAAGACAGAAGGGTAAAAGAGGGAAGGTTTTAGTCGGTCGGTGACTTCGGTAGAAGCACCAACCCGACACTATCCGGGCAAATAACATCGCCATGAGCCAAGCCCGGATGTCTGATTTATTAGCAGATTCCTAATCCTCTATTAAAAAAAAATATTATTATTACTATTATTATCATTATTGTATATTCCCTTTTCTCAAGTATCTCCTGCAAACAGGAAGCGCTTATTCATCGGTCGAAGAGACAAGGTGGCAGGCTTATTAATAGAGCTTGGGAACACTTTCTAATAACAACTCATTACCCTACGAACTATGGCGCACGTGTCTAATAACATCGATTTTTGAAGATTCTTGTGTAGACTCCATTCCAGTCCCACCTGCTGTTGGCTCCTTTTTAGGGGTTTTTGTATTTGTCCCGTTGCATCTATTACAATTGGGACAACAACGACTGCCTTAATTTCCAACATGTTTATTATTATTATGCCCAGTTTTTGCATTACCAAGCAATTAAGGTTGTTAATACATTCAAATAAATTTTTTTCGAAGTTGAAACTATTCAATTTCATCAAACTCTCCTTAGTATGAGGTTATTTTTTAAAAATATTCTATGTTTGTTTAGATATCGCCTTGTAAATGCTTGTAGTCTGTAATCTGTCTAATCTAAAAATATATCGTTAATTGCAAGCGAGTTTAAGTTGTGACAGTAAGATATGGTTATACCAGAAAATAAAGAGGTAAATTAAGACCGTATCAAACCGTACTACATTACGTTCGAGTGCGTGAGTCGGACAATGGCCTTAACTTGGGTTTTCCATACGAACGCTCGATAAAGCTTGAATATTTTTGGTATATATGCAGTCACTTATGCCAATGACAACAGACTTTGAATAACACTTGTTTATCGCGAATCATGTACTGCACAATATTTTTTGTTATTGTGTGTTTGTTTATCAACGCAGCCGTAAGTACAAACATAATTAGGCTATTGTCTATTGACTTTATCCTTGATTGATTAAGGACATCATTGTCATTGCACCACTGTTTCTAAATTTTTCCTAAAACAAAGCGTTGACATGACTCCAAGGATATTCTTATTTTATAGGTTGCCAGTCGTGAGATTGTAGTAACCACCAATCAAGGAAGAATAAGAGGATCTGTGGAATATTCTTATAATGGTACAAAATACTACGCGTTTCACACCATAAGGTACGCTAAGGCTCCAGTGGGCGACCTGAGATTTCAAGTGAGTTTTAATATATATATATATATATATATATATATATATATATATATATATATATATATATATATATATATATATATATATATATACATCCGGGCTTCGCATTATTGTTTGGTTCGTCGTCTTATCAATGTGGCTTGTCGATTTACATATTCAATATGTCTGTTGTGAATGTTGTAAAACTGTAAATTACCAAACAACAAACAACTATATAGTGAACCGTTGATTTTTGGCTTAAGGTATGTATGTAATCGTAATATAAAAAATTATGTATATGTTTTATTGTTGTGCATCTATTTTTATACAATTTTTAATCACTTTGTTTGTTCTATTGACTTGCACTAGTAATTTTTAATCATTTCAATGCTGACTCCTATACAAATTTTTATCTATGTTTTAATTATGACCAGGAAAACAATGCTATAAATAATTTTATTTAAAAACACATTTTTGTAGGTTAAAATTAAATGTCTGAAGAAGGTCTTGAAGGCCGAAACGTCACAAAAAATAAAATGTTTCACAAGTAACGGAAACTTATTTTAATTTCACTAAAAAAGGACCAAAAAAAACCCAAGAACCATTTCTTAAGTATATATATATATATATATATATATATATATATATATATATATATATATATATATATATATATATATATATATATATATATATATATATATATATATATATATATACATATATATTAATCGAGATGTATCATAATTCAAACCACTCATTTCTTGAATTTTAGGCCCCACAACCCGCAGATCCATGGACCAATACTTTCAACGCCACGGTCCCCAATGGTGCCATATGTTATCAAGTAAGTTTTGATCTGCCCAACGAAACCGAAGATTGTCTGTTTTTGAGCGTCTATTCCCCAGTAAGTGCAAAAGTGCAGTAATGATTGCCGAAAATGGTTTACATAGGTATCAATTGTTTTTCAGAATATCTGGGCGGATGAACTATTGCCTGTGATATTTCATATTCACGGTGGAGGGTTTTACTTTGGTTGGGCTGACATTTACAGACCGGGCTACTTCATGGACTCGGCTAAAGTTGTTGTGGTCAATGTGAATTATAGATTGGGACCTTTCGGTGATTTTTAATTTGGCTTTTTCTATAAACGAATACTTTCAACCTCTCCAAGAAAAATGAGCATAACTTTAATTACGATCACTATTATTTATCTTGACAACTGCCCAGATCAAACGGAAAAATTTATATAATGTAGTAATGCTGTTACTAATTTCATATTAAGCTACAAATTAGTACAAAATAAGAACTAAATAATGGACAAGTTTTCAGTCCGTTCCAGTTGTGCTTAAGGTCTTTCATAGACCTAAAAACCTTATTTTTACTATTAGGTTTCTTTTCGACTGGAGATGGCATAATTCCAGGAAATGCTGGTTTGAAGGATCAGTTACTCGCTCTGCAGTGGACTCAAAAAAATATTGCTTCATTTGGTGGTGACCCCAATAAAGTTACTTTGATGGGGGAAAGTGCTGGAGCTAACTCCGTTGACTATCATATCTTAAGTTCAAGATCGGCAGGTAAAGCTTACAATATTGCTGGTTCAACATGAGTCTTAGCTTTTCTAACAAGGAAAAGAAAACAAAAACAGATGAACAGATTTATTAATATTGTACTTCGAATGCAATTTAACAACAACAGTTTCGGTGTCTGATGTAAAATACGCCTTTTACAGGGAGGTTTCCCATTTCTTTCACAAAGGAACGTTTTATAAAGTGAAACAATAGGTTTGTTGTTAACTAGTGTTTCACTATATCATCAGTTTCCAACCGCTTTTTTAAGTATCAGTTTTATGCGCCACCTGATAAACATGCTCATTTGATTCACTGCAATTTCAGGATTTTTCGAAAACTTCGTGTTTCGGATTATTGGTTCGCTTTTAAAAAATTTCAGGTTTATTTAGAGCTGCTGTGCTTTTGAGTGGGACTGCTATAAATTCATTGCCATGTTTGAGAGATCAAACGAGCATTACCTACGACACGGCCAAGTTAATTGGGAACGCCGAATTTCAGAACATTAAAAATTCTAGTCAATTGCTATCAAAGTTGCAGAAGGTCAGCGCGAGACAGATCGATATGGCCTCCAAAGCTTATAAAGATTCGGTAAGCTAACTTTGCATTTGGAAAGTATTTCAAATTGTGTTGGTCTTGGGTGTGCCCTCTTATATTTTTGTTTTTAAATCACTTACTCCAAAATAAATACCAAGGGGCGTCCTGAATACCCAAATCAGTCAAAAATTTTATTTTAAACCAGTGGAGACCAAACATCGCAAAATACATTAAATACGATAAAACTACAGTATTTTCCTCTAGATGGAACTATTTTATAAAAATTTTATAGATTACATTTAAAATTTAGTCCAACTTATTTCAAATTGTTTTTAACAAAACCTTGAAAACCGCTGAAGACGGTTTTACGAAACTTTATTATATGAAAAATAATTATACAGCAATAATAATGGTTTTAAGTACTGCAATGGTCAAAGAGAGAAAGAAGGAAACTCCTCTCTGAAGGTCCTAAATATCGAAACCAACACATTGTCGTTCGCACCATTGCCACGATTTGGCAGACTCCATTGGGAAAGATCCCAATGGATTTTGTACAGTAATCGGCATTTGCATCTTGTGCAAATGCAGATTATTCCTCAAAACAGAAGAAACCGTTTTAAGTTGCCTTTGGTTTCGAAGAACACTTGTACGAGCAGGGCCGGCTCCGTACAAAAATTTAGTTATATTGGACGTGGTACCAACCCGATTACGAATAGGCTGTCCCAACTATAATGAACTGAACTTTACCATCAAACAGGTTAATAAACTGTTAAAAACGTTTGCTGCAATTTTACTTAAACGCATGTAGTGGCACGCATAACGCTTATAGTAAAAAAAGCATATTCGGTATCTTTAAAATATACAAAAAAACTTAATCATTTTACTTGTAACAATAATTTAAAAAAGGATACAATTGGCTGCTCGGTTATTCTACTTTGCCTCATAATTTTATTACACACAACTCAAAGCTAATCGCTTAAATGCATTACAGTTTGATCAAAATAGGATTGTTAAGCTAGCAGAACTACAAGTTGCTTATTATGCCCCTGTGATTGAAAAGCACAACAACGAACCATTCGTCACGCGGTGTCCGTACGAGAGTTTTCACAATGGAAACTATAACAAGGTGCCAGTATTTTTAGGTACTGTTAATGAAGAAGGATTGATTGTTATGCTCGGTAAGTGTAAAATTTTTTCAACTAAACAAGTTTGCTTGGGTTAGTTTTAGTCGATGTCGATTTTGTTTTACTATTTAGATAACTATCTCTGGATGCTTGACGAATTCGACAAAAACATTTCTCTACTAGTGCCTGCGGCAATGGGCGTAAAAAATCCAAATGCATTGCAAACGATAGGTCAACTAATCAAGCAGGAATATTCCCCAACCAGCAGGTTTCAAAACAACCACCTCGGTGCCGTTAGGGTACTATATTTTTTTTTCTTTTTTTTGGATTCCTTAAATATCTTATTTTAGTTTTATAGCGATGTAGGCTTTCATATGCCCATTATGACTCGAGCGTTCACGGGAGCCCTTAAAACCCCTGTTTACATTTATGTGTTTACGTACGAGGGTCAAAAAGAATCATTTCATGTAACAGTTCCAGGTAGGCATGCAATAGTTATGTCATATGTCATCGAACTGGGGACGAGAAAACCACAGCTTACAAGCTTACTTCGCGTACCATTTAATCTAACCCTGATTTTGGAAATTAATTTGGGAACAACGATTATTCATCATACACTGTAAACATGTGAAGACTAAATGATATCATTCGATATTTAATTAAAAAATACACATTTTTAATAAAAAATAGTCATATTTTAAGCACATATTAAACCATCAGTATAATGAATAGGTACAACAAAAGTAATTAAAAATAAACAATCTTTCATACAAAAGGCAACAATTTTGAAAACTTTGTATTTGTTACCAAGTAGTAATGGCAATTGCAATTATTATGTTAAATTTGAAAATTATATATTTAAAAATTGCATTTCCATTATTTATATTTAAAGATTCATCGATCATGATAAACTTTTTTTTCATTACTCGAGTAGTGAACAAATAATTGAATATAGCAGGAAGCAGTCTGACGCTGGCCCTACAGTTGTAGAACCATGCTGTATACAAAAAACAATTTAAGAATTGGAAATACAAATAGTTGGTTAGTTACTTACAGTCCAGTTAAATTCAATGAGATCCAAGATGTTCGATGTAAAAGAAGCAAAATTCCAAAAGTCCCGGTTTTGATACACGAAAACTTAATGAATAAAAATAATGTACTCTAAGCTACTTAAGATTTTAATCCTATACGAATCGGTTTCTCAGCGTTGATATAGTGAGACCCAATCTAACTATTTGAAAATCATACCTGCCGTGATACAATTGCAGTTCTACCTAAGTTTTGCATCCTTTTTTAACACTAGTAATGGCTGGATATTAAAATATATTTTGTAGTAAAAACAAATAAGACTAGAAAAGGCTACAATATTGATTTTTAACATTTGTTTGTTGTTTTGATAAAGTTCAAAACAAATTAAAAATCAATAAAAATGTTATATTTCCTACCATATTTATTGTATTTGCATTTATTTCGCAACCTATTCATATAGATTTTGTTAACAAATTGGTTTAATTTTTTAGGTGCAGGAAATGTAATGCACAGTGAGGACTTTGGTTACCCTTGGCAATTTGACAATTCGGCAAATTTTACAAACCAGGATAAATTAATGAAAGATAGAATGATCACACTATTAACTAATTTTGTCACCTACTTGTAAGTGTAATAATTAGGCATTTTTTTTATTCGACAACCAAAAATGCTAACCAAAACAACAGCAACAGCAAGCATCGATAAGTTATAGAATATGTGACATCACTTTATACACTGTCGATGCTTGAAGGGAATCAACCAACATCTTGATAAAAACATTGGACGAAGCAAAATGTTCTATCTACATTTCAGAGATCCTACGCCAAATCGGAACAATCTTCTCCAGAATATAAAATGGCCAACCGTTGGGAGCAACAATTTCCGGTACTTGGATCTTGGAGCAAATCTCTCCGTTAAAAAGAATTTTAAAATGGAGAACTACCAATTTTGGAAAAACTTATTTAAGTTGTATAAAACGGACAGATATTGAACTTGACGTACTATCTACTTTCACTATCTACCAATGAAGTGCATTGTAATAAAAATCCGGAATAAACAGTATATAATTTAAACTTTCCTCATTTTCTGACACATGAGATCAAGTAACAAACCAGATCACTTTCAATTTGCTGGAAAATACTTCGTAAACCAAGTCGATAAATTAAAACCCAACCTGACCTGGTTATAAAGCGATTTATGTATATATGCAAGTGATAACTCGGTTTTTCGGAATTCGCGGGAAAGTATCGCGTAAACAAAGAGCCGACCTTAAAATGGGTTTTCCTTATGATAAACATTCGCAATTTTTAAGTATAAATAACGCAGTCTCGTCACAACAACCGCAGACGGTTTCAAGTTTATGCAAACATGTGTTCGGCGATTATTTTATTTTTGTTTGTTATAAGCTCGGTCGTAAGTATACCAAGTATTTAAAAATCTGCCTGTTAAAACCACATAAAATTGGGTTTTATTTGCTGAAATTCTCTTTTGCAAAACGAAATAATTATACCATAAATTATTAGTGAACATATTTACAGATTTGTAATGTAATATTCTTTCAAAAAGGAAAAATAATTAGAATCACATATATAGAGAGACAAAACATGGTTGGTTGTAGCTTTTTAATTTCCTTCTTAACTGTTGCTAAGTTTACTATAGTGTTCTTCTTGGAAACTCATTTAATATCTTAATGCACAAGTATGACGGATGTTCTGCATGGCTTAGTCTTCTTCTTAATCTCTACAAATTAACCCGTAATTATTTTTGTCCCTATATTATTCTTAACATACTTTTTGAATTAAAAATATTATCTCCAAATAATCTTTAATCTATTTTAACAATGGGGTAGAGCTAAAAATATTGTCTATTTTTTTGCTTGAACAACGTTGGAATTATTTTTTATTGTCATAAATACTTCTGTTTATTATTCTGTAATGTTTGCTTTCATTTAGATATTGAATTTATCAATAACCCAATAAAGCAAAATATCAAACGGCAGCATCAAATTTTCAAATTTCCAATTTCATCATTTAGTCTTTTTCTGGTTTACCTCTTGCTATGGTAAGTGGCGTAATTATTATTTGTAATGTACAATATTCGAATTTGCAAGGTAGCCCACGACGTTATAGTCAATACTAAATCCGGAAGAGTTAAAGGTGCTGTGGAACACTCCTTCAATGGAACCAAGTACTTTGCATTTCACACCATTCGGTATGCAAAAGCTCCTGTAGGTGCATTGCGATTTCAAGTAAGTAGTTAGTAGAAAACATCTCAATCACTATTGTTGTTTCTCTCTCTCTCTCTCTCTCTCTCTCTCTATATATATATATATATATATATATATATATATATATATATATATATATATATATATATATATATATATATATACGTTCAAAAATATAATCCAACAAAAACGTTTACAGAAGTTACCTTGCACGCTAAGTAAATGATACAGTGGTAAACACAGAAACGGCATTTGGATATTTTAGCAATAGAGAACGACGACGGCGAAGGATAATCATAAAATGATTAAAGAAACCACCGACAAAGCCAAATGTATATCTGAAAATATCTCTGATTAACAAATATATTTGGATATATTAACAAGGAAATTATTTTTAGATGATCAACGTCAGGCAGATCATAAATATTAGTTTCTTTTTATTCTTCAACCTTGAAATATATACAATGCCTGAATCGTTCTTGAGTTGAGGTTGTTCAATAATTTTGAAATTCTGTAACTTTTTATATCTTATTGTGATAGAAAATTAGAATAAAACATACAATTTTTAAGAATTTTGATATTATTGAACAATCTCAACCCAAGAGCGGCTTAAACATTTTATGATATTCTTTATATACATTAAGTACTTGTTTTTGTGTAGTAGAGCATGAAATTAATCTGAAATTAATCTTGCAAAACTAATAATTAAAAAAGCATGGGAGAACATGGACGAAAAGTACAAGGCAACACAAGAACAAAGAGAAGAATGAAATTGAAAATAAAGTATGTTGTTTTTTTAATTGCGAAAAAATTCATGTCTATGGCGATTTACTTTATTATTTAATACCGTCATATGACTTTTTTGTTGTTTGGAAAGGCCGTTTCTATTAGAACATGAAGCTCTAAAACTTTAGTTTTAATTATATCGTTCATATGAGGTTAATTTATTCTAATGAATATTATTTTTCTACGCTCAGATATGGACAAAAAAAATCCTTTTTTTAGATATGAAGGCACTAAAAGTGTCAAGTATCAAGAAATTGGTTTATCTTAAACAAAATTTGTGTGAAAATTAAAAAAAATATGTTGTGTAAGTATCTACTTCAAGTATGTATGTGTGCCTGCAGTACCTTCTGATGAAACTAAGTTTATTATGAATCCATTCTTTCAACCTTTTATTTACATGTCAAATAGGTATCGAAATTTTGTTTATAAAAAATTTCTCCATGCCTTCTTGAATGTAGATAAAGTGACATAAACAAATTGTGAAGTAGCAAGCGGTCACAAATTTTAATATGAAAAATATTGTTGTTGCTAGGCGCCAGTACCTCCTGATCCATGGACCGACGTTTACGATGCCACTACCGCAAACGGAGCGATATGCTATCAAGTCAGCTTCGATTTGACAAATGAAACGGAAGATTGTCTTTTTTTGAGCGTCTACTCTCCGGTAGGGAAGTTGATTTCAGAAACCTCTAATTAACCTAAACTTTACCACAAAATTTCAATTTCAAATATATTGGAATTTTTTGCGTTTACACTAAAACACATTATAAAAATATTGTAATCACATAGGAGACATACAAGTATCCCATAATAGCTCGTTTCTTTCATACCTCATATACAGCAAATGCCGTACAAAAGTTTGAAATCTGCTGTGAATTTTATAGAATTTTTTATTTAAAAAATATCTTGACATTTTTATATGTCGTTTTTTAATTTAATTTTAAATTAATTTACATTAATTTAAATTCCTTATACCCAAACTTTGTTTTCTAGGCCACTATTTATTTTTTTTTTCATTTTTATTTACTTTATTAGGTAAGCAAATTGATGATACTTGATATCTATTGCCCACAGTTTTTAAAAAATTGTTTTATTTAGTATTACGTTTAACAATTCAATTCCAGGCACGGTTGTCACAAGAGATCATATTTGAAAAACATTAAAAGGCAATAAAAGTTAGTCCTGGTATATATTTAATTTATGACTTTGTTTGTTGTCAGTTTTTCAAAACTATACCCATCTGCCACAATTTTTCAATAATTTTGTAATATGTCGTAACTCAAAACTGAAAAAATTTTCTTCGTAAAATGCGATCGTTTTTATTATCTACAAAAATATTAAACAAGGTAACAATTAATATTCCTTCTACTTGGTTCAATCTCCCTAATTTGTACTTATTTTAACAACCGACTGAAAAATATTTTCCTCCAGAATCCTTGGAAGAAAGAAAAATATCCGGTGGTTTTCCATATTCACGGAGGGGGTTTTTACTTTGGATGGGCGGATATTTATGGGCCAGGTTACTTCATGGACTCTGCACGAGTTGTCGTAGTTAACATAAATTATAGACTTGGACCTTTTGGTAAGTATTGGTTTTGGCTAGAAAATGTATTTGGTAAGTATCTACTTAGAGTGAACCATTTATATATTTCTTCTGTTGCTCGCAAATTAGGTAAGGCGACATTAATTAGTTTTTCGGTTCGCTGGCATTTTTTTTTTACTTTTGTTAAAAAGTTAATAATAAGAATGTTCAATTTTTTGTAAAGATTATGTGCATTGAGTATTCTGCTTTAAAGATGCATCAGGTATTAGGTGGTTTTTTGTAATCACATCCCTGTATGCGTAACGTCCAACAATTATTAACACACTACGAAAATGCCATGTGGATATTGCATCAATTTATTATCAAATGAATTTGTTATCTATTTTGATGAAATAACCTCTTTACGAGGGAAATCAATTTTTAAGATCACGAGAAAAACGAATTTTTTAGAACTTATTAAACATCATCCAGAAAGATTTTCAACTGAGATTTTGTTAAATTTTGTGGTTTTAACATCTTCGTTAATTAAAAACAACAAGTATAAAATTAATATTAATAACTGCATTTGGTACATGTTCAATAAACATCATCTTTTGTAGTACTTGAATTGACATGACATTTAAATATAAAAAATATGTTTAATATAAAAATTAGTTGGTACTATGGCTATTTTTGGTTTGTTGATATATTTTTCGATCTCAGCCATTTTCTTTTAAAAAAACTGATACTTGTCAGAAAAAAATGCATTAACGTCTAATTGATAGAAGACTAAACTGTTTATAACGCTTTAAAAATACATTTAAAAAAGTTTCAAGAAGTAACTATTTAATTCACGACTAAGCGAAATTATATCTAACTAGCTGACCCGGCAGACATCGTACTGCCTCAATCGATAAATAAAAGACCTAAACTTGTGTATAAAATAATCTTAAAACAAAGAAACTGAATCCCTATTAATTAAACAAAATGAATCCGTATTTAATAAAAAAAGCATTTTTTGAATAAAGCATGAAGTTTTATTATTATTTTCGACACATCATTTTGCTTACTTAAAAAACAGAGTTTTCCTGAAATACTGGATTTATAAGGTATACATTTGATTTGGTTATGATACAGTCTTTTAATCAATTTAAAGCTTACTCATAAACTAGATTTTGTATTTTTTTTTGTGGTGCGTAAATAAACAAAGACGGTTTTCCGACGCGCGAACACGCGACGTATTGTCCACGCACGAAACAGCTAAACTCCAAGTTGATTCCGCAAACTTTTAACGACTGTCCTTGCGATTTATTTATGATCATCGCAAAGGCCAGGCGTACTGGGAATTGTAAGCGTTTAAAATCCAATGGTAAATCCGTTAGAATCATCGGTATCATCATCCCGACTCCTTTGTATTTTCCTTTTATGATTGCCCAATAACGTTATTCATCATCTTTTTAATGTTAGTCAGCATGATGACAACTGATCCTACTTTTAACTGCAAATTGCAGACAATTCCATTGAAATCCTCGACATCTTTATTTTTCGCCTCCACGAATATTTCAAATAAGATAAATCCGTCTTGCCGTTATCGAGTTTTGCCGTTTAGAATTTTAGTTCACTCCTGAAGAAGTCAACAAATAAATTGACGAAATATTGGGTGTTAAATATATATATATATATATATATATATATATATATATATATATATATATATATATATATATATATATATATATATATATATATATATATATATATATATATATATATATATTGATATTGATTGATTATTTTTCGACATTTGTAAAGGGCAAATATTGCGATTGTAATTCATACCGACAAATTATCTAGGTTTTTTGTCAACCCAAGATGGCGTTTTCCCCGGAAACATGGGCTTGAAAGACCAACTTTTGGCCCTAAAGTGGGTCCACGAAAATATCGCTGCTTTCGGTGGTGATCCCGATAGAGTTACCCTAATGGGAGAAAGTTCCGGAGCCACATCGGTTGACTATCACATCTTAAGTCCACGATCTGCAGGTATTTGATAGTATTAAATGGAAACCAGAAAAACAAGTATTGCCCAAAACTCGGTTAAGAGGTTGACAAAATGTCTTTTCCTCGGGCGGCCTTAATGCTGGAGCAGTTGCAGAATCGGTATAGTTTATGCATTATAGATTTTTAGGCATTTGACTAAGTTACAATAATCAAAAAAATATATTTTCTTATAATTCTGTTGTACTATTGTACTCCTTTTAAGGCTCATGGTACTTACTATTTATGATGTCTTATTCAATAAGGTTGACAAATGAAATTTAAGTCACAAATTTGATTTGGCACAAGCGGAACGCATGGGAGCGAGTATTTCATGAGAAATAATTCTTTAATGTCCTATTTATGCGAGAGTGCTGGATAGCTGTTGATATACAGGTAAAGTCTGTTCATAGATATAAGAAAGTGACTAACTGATACGAATTAAGGAAATACCCGGGCAAGCTGTAATTATTTGGGGTTTTGTTAGGAAAGATACTAAACAATGTTTATTTTTTTATGTATGTATTTATGTTTAAATCTAAAATAAAATTACAAATTATTTTTATTACCTACTTAAATTACTTAAAATTATTCACATAATATATCAATATCACTATCGCTATTATCGCCTGTTCTAATTATTATTTGTTCTATATTATTGGCAATATGGATATAAGATTGTTCTGCTTTTTCTATATCTTTAACAGAATTTGCCCAACTTTGTGGAGGGATGTTAAAAACTTCGGTTTTTATAAGTTTGAGGACATTGGAGTTAACACGGGGAAAAACATTGTTACGACGAATGGCAGATTTCAGTTGCTGCCAAACATGTTCAATGGGTTTAAATATACAGTGGTAAGGTGGAAGCCTTAAAACTGTATGCCCTAGATTTTTACATCATTACCGCAGACGTATTCCTTTTGTAAGTTGAAGCTTTGTAGAACCTCAATTAATTGCTTTTTCGTATAATCTTCGTGAAAATAAATGTCGTTATTATACATGTAGTTTTGGATTGTTATTTATTTATTTATTTATCGTATGGCTCTACAAGTGCTATATAATAGGTTACAAACAAAATTCTTATGAAAGGTAGGTATAAATGACAATTAATACAAGTAATGTAAAACACAGTAATGCACATTAAATATGACACAGACAGTACATATAACAGGTGCATGCGAGCAACCTAGCGGTATGGGAAAATCAAATCTACAGGTCCAAATCCAGTTTAGATAACCATGCAATGGCAGCGGGGCTTGCATCAGTAAAGTCTTTCCATTGTCCGGTAAATCTTCTCAGTGGGCAGTCTTGGACTATATGTGTTAATGTTTGCTCTTCAGCTTCACAGTCACATTCTGGATTGTCGGCAATTCCCCATTTGTGCATCGCTGATCTCGTTTTTGCATGTCCAGTTCTAACTCTATTTAATAGGGACCATGTTTTACGAGGTAGTTGCATCCCTGGGAGCTGTTTATTAGGATCTTCTATGTTGTTGTTGCTGTTATTCCATACGGATGTCCATAATTCAGAAGCGTCGTAGGTTTTTCCTGGAGCAAGTGCTTCCAAGTTCCATATTGGGGCCCTTGATTTCAGTCGATTCACACAGGGTTCATCGATTACCTTGTGAATAGGCCACATTCTTGGCTGGTCTGGGTGATTTATCTTTTGCCATTCTTGGAATGTAGCCTGTTGTCTTCGGATTCCTGGGGGAGCGATATTTGATAGTACGTGGAGCCATGGTAAAGGAGTCGACTTCAGTGTCCCTGTTACTACTCTCATGGCTTCATTAAGTTGGGTGTCAATCTTATTTACATGAGAGCTTCTGCCCCATACAGGAGCGCAATACTCCGCTACAGAGTACACAAGTGATTGTGTTGCAGTGCGTAAGGTAGCTGCATTTGCTCCCCATGTGGTGCCTGCCAATTTACGTATGATGTTGTTTCGGGTTTTAAGTTTCTGGCATGTCAATTCAAGGTGCTTTTTAAAGGTGAGAGACCTATCGAGGACTACACCTAGATATTTGGGGTGTTTGTTGTGTTTGACTGGTTCTCCACAAAACGTGACATTTAGTTCTCTGTGCGCCATCCTGTTATTTAAGTGGAAGGCACATGTCTCTGTTTTATTTGGGTTCGGGCGCAGTCTCCATTTTTGGAAGTATTGGTTTAAGGTTTCTAAGTCGGTTGTTATGGTTGTTTTTCCTTCTTCAAGGTGTTTATTTTGAGAGGCTATAGCCATGTCGTCTGCGTAACAAAACTTACGTGACGTAGTATTTGGGGTGTCAATTATGTAAACATTAAAAAGTAGTGGAGCCAGTACTGAGCCTTGAGGGAGACCGTTTTTAATGTTTCTCGATTTGCTACTTGATGTGCCTAAAGTGACCTTGAAATAGCGACCTTTCAGCATTCTTTCCAGTAATCTGGTTAGTTTCATGCAAGGGATCATTTTCATGAGTTTCAGGATCAGCCCATCTATCCACACTGTGTCGTATGCTGCGCTAAGATCGACAAAGGCAACTGATGTTTTTAGGCCTTTCTGAAACCCTGCTTCTATGTAAGAGGTGAGGGCCAGTACTTGTTCGCAGCAACTACGGTTTGGTCTGAATCCTGCTTGCTCATGCGGTAGATGTTCATTTATGATAGGGCATATTCTGTTGTAGATCATCCGTTCCAATAGTTTATAACAGATGCACAGCAAGGCTATAGGGCGGTAGTTTGCTGGATTTTCAGGACTTTTTCCCGGTTTGAGGATAGCGAGAGTGTGAGACATTTTAAATTCATTTGGAAGCCGTGCTGTATTCAGTATGTCGTTAAAGAAGTCTTTAAAGACTTCTTTGGATTGTTGCTTTTGTGTCACATGAGGAAAGGGTTTTAGTCAGCTGTTTACTCTGATTGTCCATTACAATTACGCTATTACAAGGAATGTTTGGAACTAGTTTGTTTTTAAACCAACTTTGAAATAAATTCAGCGGTGGTGTCTTCATGGTAATCCAGAGAAGAATCTTTAATATTTTTCGCAGACAGAGAAAGTCCATTTGGAATCCAACCATCTTTAGAGCAAGCTTTTTGATGGCGCGTTTGTTTTACACTTATCATTGAGTCAACCCAACACTTTTCCGGGGTATCATAAGTGTCGAACCAGGTTTCATCCAAGTAAATAATTGGCCTTTGTTGTTCTCTGTAAATCCTAATTTTTTCTAGATATTCCAGTCGCCATTTCCGAATTCTAAAAGATTCCATTAAAACTTGCCTTTTGTTCATTTTTTTAAATCTAAAACCCATGTGTTGAATACACTTAAATAAGGTAGTTCTGTCACATTTAACACCGGTTTCATATTTTTCAACCCTACTAATTAAGATATCTAATGTAGGACGCTTTGTTCCTCGTATAACTGGTATGCCGTATTATATCTTGATCACTTTCATCTACATTCGAGAAAATGTCAGCATCGCTTCTTTTTTATCCTCGCTGAAATGGGATTATTCACAATTTTCCATGCAGTTAATGTTGGAATTTTCGTCAACGTGGCCGTTTCTTCTAAATATGCTTGCTTGCTGGCACCATGTTCAATGAGAGTCAAATAAACGTTGTTCATAACTTCCTTAGTCTCAATAGAATAGTGTTTTCTACATTTGGGCGGGAGCATCTCCTGAGATTCACTAGACTCGCACATATTTTGCATAATTCGCACACGATTCAACACACGCTATATCACACGAAATGTAGAAAAGTAGTATACCAAACCAAATAATATTAAACACAGGTAGGTATAACATTATTTTCTATTACGGACCACAATTTTACCTGAAATTAAATTCCGAAACTTTAGTTAATAATCTTGTTGCATTGTATGTTAATGACCACCCTTGGATAATCCCACTCAAAAGCAATTGTTCACTTTCTTATATCTATGAACAAACCATACACTTGTATTATTTCAATGCAAATATTCGCAAAACGAATCCGAAATTTTTCATAATTTTCGAATTTAGCTCTAACACCATGCCATCCATTTGTCTCAAAGTAAGATAACTCAAAAGAAATCTGAGGTCTTTAAAAATCTAAAAGAGTTCCATTTTAAAATTTGTAAGGTGGTATCATTAACCCCCTGAATGTAACCTAAGTTAAAAATCAAAAGGGATGGGTTCGGAGAATATTTCGTTTGCGTCATATGATAACTTATTATACTATTCTCAAGACATTACAATATTATGGTGAATTTGTACATCGTGTTTAATTTTTTACACAAAATGGTTTAAAAAGTGTATTTAATATACACTCCAACAATAAATAACGATATCAAACATTTTCATTTTCAACTACTTTTTTTCAACCATTAGTGCTTCGAAGCTATTACAAATATGGACAACAGCTACGATTAGCTAAATGAGGCCGATTTAATGCAATGCTCGATTACCTACTTCAATTTATCTCTTCAGGGCTATTTAGAGCGGCCGTGCTATTGAGTGGAACTGCTATCAGCTCGTGGGCCTCCAAGGTGGACCGAAGTGACGTCACATTCGATACTGCTAAATTACTTAATAGCTCCGATTTTTACAATGTGAAAGATACCAGACAGTTATTGTCCAAGTTGCAGAGGGCTGACGCGCGTGAAATTGACGCCGCGTCTAAAGCTTACAAAGATGGAGTAACTTAAAATATTTTCATTTATTGCGTGATAATATTACTCACCTCTTTTTAGTTCGACCAAAATCGGATAGTCAAACTCGCCGAACTGCAAGTAACCTACTACGCGGCTGTAGTTGAAAAACATAATAATCAACCTTTTATAACGGAGAGACCGTACGAGAGTTTCCTAAAAGGGCATTACAATAAAGTGCCGATATTTCTCGGAATGGTTGACGAGGAAGGATTGATAGTGATGATTGGTATACGTTGGTGTTAAACTCATTATTGCATTTATGTGCACTGACGATTTCAGACGACTACCTTTGGATGCTCGACGAATTCGATAAGAATAATTCCCTCCTGGTAACGGAAACATTTCACATCAAAGATCGGAGAAAACTTCGTAGGGTCGGTACACTTATCAAGCAAGAATATTCACCCGATACCTCTTTCCAACAAAACCACGTTGGTTCCGTTAAAGTATGCACAATGACGGTAAAAGAGAAACGTCCTTGGAATTTTTTTTTCTTTAGTTTTACACGGATCAGTGTTTTCAAAAATCCATACTTAAGCGTGCCTTCATAGACGCCCCTCGAGTGCCCGTATATTTATATTTGTTCACCTACGAAGGTCAGAAGGAATCCTTTCACGTAACTATTCCAGGTCAGTGATCATATTGTGTGTAACTACAGTTAAGGTACTATTTGGATTGCGTCTAACTACAGTTAAGTTACTATTTGGATTAAAAGAAAAACAACTTTTATGCACTTTCTACATAAAAAGTCAAAAATGTATCTCAATTATAACTAACTAAAAAACAATACCACTAGCAGAAGGAATGTGAGAAACTTTGTAAATGCAGTAAATTTAATTTCAGAACTTTCTTTAGTAACATAATTTAATTTAATTTAGATTAAGTTTACCATTAAATGTTAGTTAAATAGTAGGATGTCATGCTGATAGAAAACAAAATTCTAAGTCATCCTTTTTATGAATATCGATTATAACGTTTAAATTACAGTTTATAAAGATTGGTGTTGGACTTAACTTTTCGTTACTTTTTTGTTCTTTCTCCTTCGGGAATTTTCGATGCTTTAGTAACGGGTTTGGACGGGACGGACTAGGAAACTATCTATGTCTGAAATGTATGTCTCTACTAATTGTCAATTTCTAACGACATTATAAATAATATAAATAAAGTATTCGATTTCTCCTGCGTATTCAAAGCACAAAAAAAGTTGACAGTAGATGGCGAAAGTTTCTTTGAAAAATTGAAAAAATTTTTTCGTGATTCTAATATAAACGTAATTTTAGGAGCTGACAACGTGATGCATAGCGAAGATTTTGGATATCCTTGGGAATTTGATAATTCAGTCAACTTTACAAAACAAGATAAATTGGTAAAAGATAGAATGATAAGGATACTGACAAATTTCGCTACGTTTTTGTAAGTATATCTATTTAGATTCGTTCTAACAAAACACGAGGTTAAAAGGCATTAATTTTGTTTTCTTATCTGTTTCACTTGTATCCCCAGAGACCCAACACCGAAAGAAGATCCACTACTTCAATACGTAAGATGGCCAACCATTAAAAACGATAGCAATTATCCTTATCTAGAGATTGGTACGGACTTATCAATAAAAAAGAACTACAAGCAAGACAAGTTCAAATTTTGGGACAACCTGTTTCATAATTACGGAGAAGGACCCTTTGAAGTGTTTTAAATTTCAATTAAGTTACATTATATAACAATGCATTAAATATACATTTCTTCTTTATTCACGTGTTAATATATTTTTTTATTACATTTTCTCCTGCTAAATGAGAAAGCAAGTACGATATAAAAAGAGGTACAGATGAAAAAATACAAAGCATAAATTAAATCAACTTACAATGGTATCAAGAATTGAAGATCAAATAAATAAGAAATGCTTTTATGAAAATTCTATGGGATCGTGTAATGATAAATTTAGAGAAAAATTATTTCACCACATTAAAAAAATATATAATTAGATACATGAAAAAAATTTGAAAATGTATTTCGTGAAAAAAAAAAACAAAAAACATAAGGAAAACCGATTGATATGCTAACTCTAAATAAAAAATAGAAAAAAAATCTCAATAAAATTTATTATTTTACATTCATTCACATAGTTTGAATAAATATGTTGTCAAGGTTAATGTTATAAACTTTCGCACAGTTTCAAGCCTCACTTGAGTCAAGCGGTGTATCTTGGTTTTGTTCAATTTTGAGGTAAACTGTATTTTTTGACCAAATTTTTATCAATTTTATACAAATCTTGTACAATTACCACAAACCTCATGATAATTAACGTTCTATATTTTTAGCCGCAGATTTTAAAATTAATACAAAAATGAAGATGAACGAGAAAATTCAAGGCCGGTTAAAATTAATTGTTTTATATCAGCAAGTTTTAGTTACTAGCGATTTTTTGTCACGTTCTGTCAGCCGCAAAACTCCTCCGAAAAGTAACGAATAAAAATCAATGAGGACGTGGGTTCCCTCGACACGGGGTTTAGACCACATGTCACTACGGGCTTAGGCTTTAGAGCTTTTGAAGTATCGATGCCCTCAATATTCTTTAATTTAAGGCTTACGGCCCAATAACACCCTCGCCCTTTTTTAATATAAAAAGCCTGTAAAATTCTCTATTAGATAGGGACCGGACAATGACCTTATAATTGAAAGTTTTTTTTTGCAAAATGGAGAAAAAGCACAAGTGTTTTAAAAAATTGTGCATGGTTTTTTGTTAATAAAAATTAGTTAATGTTATGGAATATCTCAAACGGTTTTTCTTACAAAAACGAAAATTTATCTGAGGAATTACTTAAAAAAATTTAATTAACAATCGCGTATACGTTTATCAACACCAATCGTTCATTAAAACTTTACTAAGTTGGGAACTTGAGGACAATTAGGCTATAACTTTCAGTTTGACAGGCGGTGGGGTTATCTTTAAACTTTTAGAAACTTGTAGTACATCAAAATGAATTTTCAACAAGTTCCTGTCAACAAGTCATACAGAAATTTAAATATACCCTTCAATGATGATCAAGACTTCTCATATATGCTTCTGAGCAACGACAGTGAACTTTTCTCAAAATTAAATCACATCTTCTCAGACTCTATGAATAAACATACTGTTTGTGACAACAAAATCATTGGTAAAAAATACCAAAATAGTTTAATATTGTTTATTAGTAAAAGAAAATCAGTTATAACAACTTTATTTTTTTCGGTTATATTTACATTAATGTAACTATGTCATGCATGAATTTTGAATTTTAAAAAGTGCTTTCTAATTAACACCAGTATGCAAATATAAGCAGGTATTCTACTAATATTTGATAATCACCATCAAAAATACTCAGCATATGCGTGATTCTGCTTTAACTGTTATTTTTTATGTCTTGTATTGTTTGTTCTCAATTTGACTAATTAATAATCTAATAATGAAATTTTTGTATTAATCAGAAAGGACCTACAATATATGAGCTAAATGCCAGTACTGTGTAATGTCAATTTCTAAAATTTATCTATAAATTCTTAATTTTTTTTATCGCAGTAAACTAATTACCTCATAAATTCTTATTTCTATTATCAAACGAAAAAAAAGACATTTTTTGGTTTCTGTTTTAAGTTATTACAGAGAATTTATCTTTAGAAGTTATCGAATTTCTGAATTTGAATTTATATGACTCGAGCGCCATCTACCTTGAGATTTATGACACATCTAGTTAAATAGTGCAAAGAGTGTATGTGATTTTAGAACTGAAATTTATTTTAGGACGATAGATGAACATGGAACTCAAACTCAAACAACTCAAAATTTGAAATTTGTTTCACAGTAAAATAGATAAATAATATGAATAATATGAAAAGTCTAGTTTTAAAATCTTAGAAATTTTTAATAAAAAAGTAACAGTTAGAACGAAACTACCCATATATCACAACCACTTAGTTCAAAGGACAGATGATTAAAATGGTCTCACAAAATTGCTCGTTAACAAACGATTTACACCCAAAATACACAAACAGGAAGAAAAAATTGAACAATATTTTTAAACAATTTCTTTTTACAGTTATCCGCCATTAGTATTAATGCGAATGACAAAGAAAATAATCCCCATTGCTACTAGTCTCACTTGAAATAAAATTTGTCTCGCCAAATCCATATTTACTAATTTTGGATGAGTGATTGATTGGCTGGTACTGACTTGCAGCGTTGGGATTATCAGCTGCTCTTTTTAGGCTAGAGTACTGATATCAGTCAATGGAAATTTTGCAACACATTTATTCTACGCTGTCTAAATCAAATTTCATAACCTGCATATGAGAATATAACGACAGCTCATAATCAACTCTATTACAATTCTGCGGAGCGTCCTAGAACACTCATTCCTGTACCAGTAAAATACACGCAGCCCAAAAATATTTCTAGTCCTGCTTTCGACTAAATCGAATAAAGGCGAAACTAAAAATTGCCTCCTTTCACAAGTTTCACAAAGGTAAAAACACGCACTTTAAAAGATAAGCGCTAACCGTACATCCCTTTAAGTAGGGTGAATCTTGCAGGGTAATCTCAATGATTGTATGTTACAACGTGTCTCCTTTATCGACCCTCATGTTTTTTAGGCAAAGGACAGATCATTCTTTCCGTCAGCGATTCGGGTGCTTTAGTTCTGCTGTTAAAATGGCTGAGCTGATAAATTGATTTGTCCGGTCCCTCGGGGTAATTGAATTTGGGAACTTAATGTCGGCTTTACGTATTACTTCCAATTTGGACGTGCGTTTTAATTAGATCCGAAGGAAGGAAAGTAAACCATAGGAAATGTCTATTATAGGTTGATTGTTGCAGGTTATTAAGATGTTGAATTTGAAATTTTTTCCTCTTCTAATTTATATTCCTTATAGTTTTCGTTAATTATCTTTATAAAGTGTCTCGAAAATTAATTCGTAAAACAGATATTTCTCTGAAAATGACATTTGCTGCTTTAATGCTTGTGATCTCAGTGAGTTTACTATATATTCGCTATTTTATTTACGTTTATTATAGATATATCTACGTTTCAACCAAATCACATTTATATTAGGAAAATTGTAATATTATTAATTGAACTATTTGAAAACTAGAACCCGATGGCGATAATGCTATAATTTAGCGAAACGAAAGTTCGGCATTTTATACAGGGTGTTTCAAAAAACATCCCGCAATACTCGGTTGGAGATTCGTCATTGAAAGAAAAAAAGTTCATATAGACGTAGATTCTAATTTAAATTTATTTTGTTTTATTTTTTTAAGTTTGCGTAGGTTATAAGTTAATTGAAGCGAGCCAAAGGGGGTATGTGCCAAAATTACTTTTTTGGGATAACCAAAAAAAACGTTGAAGTTTAGAACAACAGTTATAATTAATTTTTCAAAGAAACTTCCACAGGCTACTGTAACACTTTTTACAAAACTTCTGGATTCCTCCTGCGTCGGTTTTTGCTGAGTCGAAGTTGCTGACGTTTGGCCAATCATCCGAGAATCTATAGAAATCTATAAACAACCTAACAATCTTAACCGCGACTCAGGTCTCTACTTGTCTCTACTTGTCACCAAACAGTACAAGCAGGTACAGAGTAAAATACGAGCCAGTTTCTGTCAAACTCTGAAGAAGCCAACAGGATGATGGGCGAAACGTCAGCAAGTTTGACTCAGCCAAAAACCGACGCAGGAGCAATCCACAAGTTTTGTAAAAAGTAATAGTTATAATTGCCGGTGTTCGTATAAATTCTATTCAATTCTAATTCAATAATAATTCAATTGTTATTGATATGTAATGTAATGATTAGTTTTGGATATAAAGGATGACAAAAAATAAAATGTGGTAAAAATATTTCCCACCAATTTAATCAAGTTTAAAAGAAATTGCTGAAAATAACATTTTGTAGAGTGTGACATCTCATAATATAGTGTTGGTTTTTAAACAAATATAATATGATAAAACATCTTTAAATATAATATTATTGGTGGATTTTGTTAAAATAATATAAACAAATCTTTTTCTATGCAATATTTTATCTTACTAACACTGATAATTATTATACCTAGCATATATCATGCTTAATACAAATTACAAAAAATATTTGAGAAACTATTCGATTTATTGGCTAATATTATACGCTTTCATTAGTCCATTATCCGTGTCACTAATGCGTTTTTCATGGTTATCTAATACACGAAGTTACACTAGCAAATCCAGGATACCAGAACATGCTAGGCAGTTTTCTGGAAAAGACTTCTATCTTCCTGTAAAATGTTTGTTCTTTTATTATTTTTACTACATTCGAGTTTAGCGCGAACTTGGGTTCCTCAACAAAACCGATAACTGTGCTATATGCATATATCAGATTATGACAGGGAGAAACAATTCAAGTCGGTGTGGAATGAAATTGCCGACCAATTTTTACATATATTTCGTACACGTTTCTCATTCATCACGATCCCTCGGAGTGCTCAAACTCACAAGAATATATCATTTCTAAAAACCAATGTCATTAGTAATACGTGTGTCTGTTATTATTCGTAATGTAAAAAGCATATGTCTGATACGCAACGTGTACGTGTATATGGGGATCATCTTATTAACCGCGAACGCACACTATATTTACACAATTTCGGAAAAGGTTTCAGGTCACGGAATTTTTAGAAATAACAGTAATAGATGTCGAAAAGTTCAAAGCCCCAACATTAGAGTGTGTTACCATAAAAGCTAAT